AATAAACTAATTTTAGTTAAGAACGGACTTGTATTGCTGAAGTTTCTCGGAAAGAATTTCTACTGGAAATTAACAAACGAACAGAGACGTAACAATATTGTATATAATTATATTTACACTGCATTTTGCTTATGGAAAACAATCAAACGTGTTAGCTGATGCAGTTGTTGTCTTTAGCTTGTTACGTTAGGATTTAACTTGTTCTTTATGAAAACCAGACATAACTGCGTCATTTCTTCTTATTTCCGTCAAAACAACATTTAGCACGAGGCTGCATCACCATATACATTAGCTAGTGTCATAAAATGGAATCCAGTAAAAAAAAAAGATGATGTTTCTGTTAGATTGTTTGGGTAGCTTTTAATGGTGAGTCTAATCGTGAAAGCAGCCACTTTTGGCCTTACATAAAAGACTATTTTGAAGTTGTTGGAAGTGAAAGTGGATCCCAATCCAAAAATATTTTGTTGCAGTGTAAGTTGTGTTTCCCATAAAGAATATTTACAGTACAATAAGAAATCACTTTTTAATCTAAAGAAACATATTAGTTACAAACATTCACATAATTCAAGTATTTTGAATCGTGCCCCAAGAGAGGAATGGAGGCAAACAAATCAAGCAAACGGTCGGTTGAAGCAGCAGACACATGGGCTCATACCTCTAGTAAGAGAAAAACTGGGATATATGAAGCAGAACAACCAACTCATGGAGCCTCCATTGTTGCCAGTGCCGGGAAGGTTAACTAATGTAAAATAAATCATAACTGATTTGATCATTGAGGAAAAATCATATTCAGACATTACACTTACAGTAGAATAAAACAGTTTTTGGTAGAAAAGCCCCCTACATGCACAATTAACGATAAATTCGCCCAGAAAAAAGCGGAACTGAGCCAACTACTGGAGCTGCTGCAACAGGTAAGTTGTAATAAATTGTTAACATTTTTCATTTTATTGGTAATAAAAATTGGTTTTTCTCAAACTTAAAACATGAAATTAGCTTCAGTGTAGCATCTGCAGTGAATGTGTAAGGTGTACTGTTTTGCATTCACTAGTTTAGCTTTGTATTGTTTACTTTTAAAGATCCTATCTGGCTGTGCCTGTGCATTGGATTGACCCAGAAAGCCTGAAGAGGGAATATGCAGGGTTTGCTTGCCACTGCCTCACTGGTCACCACACCTTTGACATGATTGCCAAGGAACTGGAAGCAGTTTACATTAAATATTGCATTCAAAACAAGATTACCAAGACCATTACTGACAATTGGTTCAACTTTGTTAAGACATTCAGGTTAGTTACAGTATTTTTTAGTATGTTTTGTATATTTTGTTTATTACTATATTTTATTCATTGATATAAAATATAGTATATCTTAATACTAGTACTGTTTCTCTCTCTCACGTTTCGGTGATCGTGCTTTTTCTATCTATGCTCCTAAGCTTTGGAACACACTCCCTATTGAACTACAATGTGCGAAGTCTGTCAGGTCTTTTAAAAGTCTTTCAAAGTCATATCTCTTTACTAGCTTTCCACTAATGTAGAGACTTGTCAATGACAGGCTCTTCGAATGGCTGACAATGGCTAGTGGAGGCACTATATAAGAAATTAAATTATTAGTATTATTATTTTTATACCATGTCAATATGGCAATAAAATACCAAGATGGTACTACTAAGCCATGCTTCACATAATATACACATCTCTTTGATATTTTACTATTTGTATTTGCAGGATCTTCTCCATTGAATGAAGGGCTGAACCTGTAAATAGTGATGCTGGTGATTCCAAAGCAGAGCAAAGCTCACTGGACTCAAGTGATGAACAAAAAAAAAAGAGATATCATTAGTAGTGAGAGAATCAAGTGAGGTTTGTCTTCTCCACAAGCATCTTTGATGTGCATCATATACACTCAATTTAGTAGCAACCAGTGATGTAGAAAAGGATTTGAGTGATGGTACGTTGAAGAAAGTTTCCTTTTTGGCATTTGTGAAGGTCCTCATGCTTTGAAACAAACAGAGCCAAAGCACCGTAGCAGCTGACTTTATACAACAAGAACTGGGTGAGCATTTTGTTGTTCCATGCGCTACACAGTATGATGTGTTTGTTCTTATGGAGAGCTTAATAACAAAGAGAGAGAGAGTTCAGTCAATAAAGTGTGTGATGAGCTGGGCATTCCTCGTTCAAACTTTCGAATATAAACTTCATCAAAGATGCATAATTGTCATGTGACCTTTAGCATGTGTGTTAGATTTACTTCAAAGTGAAATTAATGCCTATATGAGACTACTGCCAAAACTTATTGTATGTTTGACAAAACTGAAAGATCTTTGTAGTAAACCCTCTGGACTTGCAAGCCACTTGTTAATGTTTTGATTTCAGAAATTAGGAAGCATTTTGAAGCTGCATTTGTCACTGAGGTTCATGTTCTCGTAGCTGCTTTTCACCCATAGTTCAAACTCATATGGATTAGCTTAAATGCTAGGAAAGAAACTGTAAAACAAATGACGATTAAAAAACTTCCAGAGAAGATGGAAGGTGGCTGTGATAAAAATTCAGCAAATGTTGATTTAAGTGATTTTTCATCATTTTCAAGCACTGAGGGAGATGATGAAGAAGACTTTTTCATGTCCTTTAAACAAGAAGCAAAATCTGCAAGTAATTTGTCTCAAAGTAGCAATAATCAAATAAAAGTGTTCATGAGCGAAGAACCATCAACTTCAAAAGATATAGAACCAAGCTTGTTCCCAGTTTTAAATTTCTCTTCATTTACTTCAAAACGTCCATTCCATTGAGTGCTTCTTTAGAATTTAAAGGTTTAATAAAACCACTGCCTTTATTTCATGTTTTATTATAATTTTATTACAATCTTTATCGTGTAAACTTTTTGCCTTTTGTAACTTTATCATCACATTTTTATTTAGATATATAATCAGGTGTCATGTAGTATTAAATATTTTGTTTCTATGATAAGTGATACACCTCTGATGAAATACTGTGATAATATTTTCATTATGTAGACACATCCATATTTTAAAAAAGAATGTCACATGAAAGAAACCATTAATTTTATAAAACTGCACTATATATGTACTGGTTCATGTATAAAGTGTATGTTGGAATGTTACATTATATGTACAATTTCAGGCATAAAGAAGTGGTATGTAAAATATAAAATTGTGTAGCTACTGATAGTTTTATCACAGAAAGCTTTATTTATTAAGAAAAGTAAAATTTTTCCTTGTCTGAACAAGTGAAAAATCTACCCATTCTCTTTGATGTGTTAAGTTTGTTTGTGATTCTAAAAAATAAAAAGTTTTTTTGTTAAACTGGTCCTCAAATTACCAAAATTTTTTTATATTGCTCCAGTGCTTTATATTTGAAAAAGGCAGATGAGTGAAATTTTACACTCGTAAGACACCTCCAGAAGTATGATTGCACCCCCTTAAAATTTGAATCTTTGCTGATCTTAGTTTGCATTCTGCTGATCATTATTTTAATAATTTAATAGCTTTTATCATACAAATGTATTTGCATGAAAAATGTGACAAACAGGTTGGAAAGCAGTTATTCAGAAAAATGCATCACTCGTGTCAAAATTATCCATGTGAAGATGCATGGGATCAAATACCTCGAAAACAAAGCATTTGTTTTCAACACCAGGCTGCATTGAGTAATTTTATGTTTTTTGCCTATTACATTACTTATCACAAGTAACTAACCACAAAAATTGAGTAAAATAACTCCTTTACTATGTAAAATACATAAGGGGCCTTAACAGTTTTGAAACCTATTGCAATAATTGATGGTAATGAACCCAATTGCAAGTGATACACAAATAGTTATGAAAATATTTAAGAACCAATGGTACTTGTTTGTATCCTCTTGGTTATTCTGCAGTTAAACTATGGCCATTAAACTACTGAAAATTATTAATTATATGCATTTCATGTTGATTGGATGTAATAGATAAAAAAATTAAAATTCTTTATAGTTAAGCTTGCATAGAGTTTCATTGTGATTCTAGGATAAAACTACATATGAAGATTTTTGTACAAAGTTATTTCAAAAGGAGTTTTCTCACTTTTATTATTCAGTAAAATTAGGATATCTGATTATTGAAGCTATTGGATGTTGGTAATTTGAAAGATATATAAAAGTATTGGCTAATAATGTTCAAAATTAAAGAATTCTCAAAATATTAAATTTAATGCACTGAAACCATGAAATTAGACACTTGTTAAAATATGAGTTGAATTGTCAGTATTGCATTAAAACAATGGATGTATATTTCAGTATTTTGTTAAACTTTTAGCTCAGCTTTTGTAAGCATCTTACATAAAAATTATTTATTCATGTATGATACTTAAAAACTGTAACTCATAATTATGAAAAGCTAAAAGTATTAGTAAAAGAAAAAGTATTAATATGCTGAAATAGTTGCATGCATTAGTAATGTATTTTGTATCAAATATAAATGCAAACCTATGTTCTAAAGAAGGCAATTTTATTGTAAAATCATTATTGTTTTATTCATAGTTTTCTAGCATTAATTAAAACTTTGACATTGTTTATTTGCTCATCTATACCTATATTATTTTTTTTTGTTTTCTTTAGTCCGGTATTCTGATGTATATTCTATTTTTTGTTGAAGTGACAACTGGTATTTTAGCCTACTTCTACAAAAACGAGGTATGTGTTTAAAGCTTGGCTGTTAAATTTTAAGTTAATTAATAGTATTATACAATGGTTTTATAATGATTAGTCTATATTTATTGAGCAGGTTTCTTTAAGACAAAAAATATAGTTTAATTAATTTTTTGTACATGATAGTAAAACACAAGTAGGATGAAAATAAAAAGTTGGCAAATCATGTTAAAGAAAAATCATAATATACCTTAGTGCTCTTGACAGTTGGGTCTGCCTTCATCAGTGACAAAGACTAACCTGTTGTATGGAAATGTATATAGTGTTACGTATCTGCTCGTTTGTTAATTTCCGGTATAAATTCTTTCCGAGGAACTTCAGCGATACAAGTCCT